TCCTATTACTTGTTTTCGCTTCTGTTTCAGTTTTTATAACCATTTCTTACTATGTGTAAATAAGTTGTTGTTTTTTAGCATGTGTGTTTGCCAGTGCTATTTTTTAGGATTACTGATAAACTACTGTCATTTGATTTGTATTATTTGTATTTCTTATTTATTTAAATTTTAGTTAAATTATGTATGAATTTATTATGGCTTTTATTAAGTTTTTAGTTTTATTTAATTTGAGTTATTTTAATACTTCAACAAACTAAATGGAAATGAAATAATATATATATTGAATTGATAAATGTGTATGTATATTTATGTATGTGTGTGTGGTTGTACATACACATATGTAGTTGTTTTTTTGGTGTTTGGCTTAGTGTTATGTTAGAATCATTATTATACACTTATACCTTTTGTTCTTTAATATTTTGAATTGTTTTTAGCTTTATTTTTTTGTTTTTCATTTAAATGTTAAGTTTTGAAATTTTGTTGTATGCATTTGTCATTTTTATTTAATCTCTTTATTTTTAATCTTTGAGAGAAGCAGTCTTTATCAGCGGAAGTTAAAAGCAGCTGGTAAGTGTATTTACTTGTCTCGTTAGTGTGTAGTGCAGTTGTCGTTGCTAGGAAACGCTTGTTTTGTTTACTGTGTGGAGACGTGCTGATATCGCGTTTGGTCTCGTTCTGTATCGCGTATCTTGTCAGTGTCTGCGCTTGCTTGGCCATTTGTTGTGGAGAAAATAAGGAAAGTGTGTCCAGCTGAATTAATGTAGTATTTTGTTAGAAGGGTATAAAAAAGCTTAGTTTACCGCGGCAGCGGTCACATGAAGGCCTCCTCGTGTGAAGACCGAAGAGTGTAAAGACCATAGACTCTACCGTGCGACTCCACTGGGCAGGGACACCGGCAAAGGATTAGTATCGCTTTTTATTTCTCCTCTTTCCTATTACGTTTCGCTTCTGTTTCAGTTTGTATAACCATTTCTTACTATGTGTAAATAAGTTGTTGTTTTTTAGCATGTGTGTTTGCCAGTGCTATTTTTTAGGATTACTGATAAACTACTGTCATTTGATTTGTATTATTTGTATTTCTTATTTATTTTAATTTTAGTTACATTATGTCTGAATTTATTATGTCTGTATAGGTCTTTTATTAAGTTTTTAGTTTTATTTAATTTGAGTTATTTTAATACTTCAACAAACTAAATGAAAATGAAATAATATATATATTGAATTTATAAATGTGTATGTGTATATATATATGTATGTATGTGTGTGTGCCTGTACATACA